TATATATAGTTTTTGACATGATTTTGTTTATTGAACCAAATAAAATGTTTGACTTTAATAAGCATTTCTGCTTATTAAAATGTTTGTGGAATAAAATATATATCAATGTATGGAAATATTTATTTTTATAATAATGGTTAAGATATCATTTCTGGCAATAAACTAAAAATGTTTTGCAGTCAAATGTCTTGTCTTGTTACTGACAGGATTTTGTTTATTGGACTAACTAAAATGTTTGATTTATTAAGCATTACTGCATGCTAAAACAATTCTGGAACCACAATACAGTGCATAAATGTTAATGTTGATTAATCACTCTGCGGGTCAACAAAGCTCTTTATCGCCCTCTGGTGGTGACTGGTAAAAACCTGAGTGGAAGTATGAAAGCCTCACAGTTTGGTGAAATTATACAGTATATATGATATCCTCAATTTAAAAATTTACACGTTAATTAAAAAACATAAATATTTCTTTAAATATTCATTATTAATCAACACAGCTGCCACAGAATAACTGATAACATCCTTGATACATTATTTTCTGTGTGTAATTCTAACATGATGAACGCTGGGGTTTAGAAGAAGAAATACTGAAATACAAGACTGTTGATGGTGGTGTGTTGGTGCTTGTGTGGAGCAGAGATGACCATGAGGACAGGCAGAGTGAGGAGGGAGACAGAGGGGAGGGGAAGCTTGGAGGAAAAAAACCGGGGACTGCCCATGGAGGATGGGCGGAGCAGTAAGCATGCGCTGAGGTGGCAGGCAGGCTCTGGGCTGGTCCTGACGGGCTGGCTGCGCTCCGGGCGGATGTCTGTGCGCGTCAGACGGTGGTGGGGGAGACAGCCATCCGCACTCAGCGCCTCCTTGAGTGCTTAGAAGAAGAAGAAGAAGAGGAAAACAACAACAAACAAAAACCCGGGGATTACTGCGCGAACTGGTGTACCTCCGCGTCTGGAAACTCACCGAAGAAGAAGAGGGTCCTTCTCATCCAGCCCACACCCCGTCGCCAACCCGCGCTGTCTTTTCTACCCACCACTTCGTGCCATCCCTCTGGTCTGAACCGCCCTCCCACCTCTCCTGGGGGAACCACGACCACCCATAGGAAAGCCCCCCAACACACATACACACTTGACCAGCGTTGCCATTAAGCGATGCGCTTTGAGTTCTGGACGAAATCACCTTTATGCCCTTTTGGTGCACGACCCAAGCAGTGGTCTTCATTCCTCCTCAGCGGGAACAGTTCAGGCTGTGGATTCAGGTGTTTACACTTTCTGACCAGTGGTAATAAAACATGCAACAGTGTCCTCCTGCGACAACACGAGGCTGTCATAGAGTAGTCTTTATTTAAACAACCGGCTGTCACATACGCCGGGTTTCATCTTTTATGTAGGATATATATATATATATTTTTGCAAGTTTAAATCCTGACAATGGTCTGGGAACAGACCGCTTCTACAGAGACCTGTAGTTCTTTTTCAAGACGTGTCAGCAGCGTTATGTTCCGGGTTTTAATCTGAAGAAAAGGCGACAAATTGACGAGGAGTCGTTTCGCACCGGCGCGGTTGGAGCAGAAGTTTCTCCGCGCGAGCAGAGACGTGGACCGACATCTCGGCCATAATCCACGGCATTTCCCCCACCTTGTGAGGTAAGCCAGAGAGGCAACGCTTCCTTGTTTCTGCATATTATGTAGGCTACACTGACTGTCCACGCTGGCGAGATCCAGTCTCCTGCGATGGGAGAAACGGCGCGAGGTCCAGCAGGGCAGTGACCTATTTTCAGTCTCTCCAGCAGAGCGGTGCGACGCATGCAGCCTGGACTCGGCGCGACTGCCGGGGTCCAAGGCCGGAGCTGTTTCCACAGCAAATACATCCGTGCCCATTTCAACACGGGGCTGACCTTTTCCCACATGTCCACATCCTCTCCTCAGCATCCCCCTTAACCCCGAGAGACGTTTTTAGAGCAGAGTCACAAATCCTGCCCTATAAAGTCCAGCGGTGCACATCCCAGCCAGCTGTTGTGCAAAGACACGGGCTTATGGAGAAGCTCTCTGATCTGATAAAGAGTTCAACCTCTGCAGACTCAATGGTGTATTTTGTCTAACAAAGAGGTCAGCTAACTTTCATTTTTAAACTGTTAGAGCTCATGAAGTTGTGATTTTGTTCCATGTTCAGTCTGAAGTTAGATGAGGCCAAATGTGCATTACAGGGGGGCAAGGATGAGCACGGACAGAGAGGCTTAGATAAAGAACCATTTTCCTCCAATTAAGCAATTTCACTGTCCCTAAGCCTAATTGTGCCCACACAGGGATTAGGTTTGCAGTGGACCTTCTCTCCATTGGCTGCCTCCCATGGGCCCATTGTCAAACCCTGTGATGGAGGGGAATAAGGCCGGATCGTTAGTGCTGACCGAGGTACACTTGAGGGAACAGCAGTTGCATTTTGGATTGAAGGAGTGTATGTTTCTCAAACGAGTGTGTGCATTTTGCGTGCAGGTTCATGAAAAAGCAAAAGATTAGTCACTTGAGGGGGGTCTAGCTTCCAGATTTTCTCAAAGTGCGGAAGGGGAGTTGCAAAAAAAGTCATTCTTCAGCGTTCAAAGACCTCTGTATCTAATCAGAGGATGATGACTAGTTCAGTTGTAGGTCAGCCCTAATGTTTATCCAAGAGAAAGTCTGAGGTCAGTCAAAGGAACATCCATCACTATGGACCAGTTAATTGGCTGATAATGGTCATCATTTAAAAATCAGCAATCAGCCTCTAAATTACCAAAGTAGGGAAAAGGATGAGGCACAGGCTACTATAATCAAATTCCTGTAGCTCGCAGTTTATGTAAAGGAGAATGCTCTTCAGTATTTTTTACAAGTGCTAAGGGTTGTTAAATGCTTATTTGAGTTAAGAAAATAATAATATATAATAATCAATCTGTTGTATGTCACATATGGGCAGAGGCGTGATTTCCAAAGATCATCATCAGACAAACTCACGTGTTGAGCTCTATCTATCACCATCAACACTGATTTTCCAGTCGAAGCCACAACTCAGAGTTTTCAGTCACTGCGGGGAAAGAGTTCATCTCTATAAGCCAACTGCTTGCATCTGTCCTGTCCTCTCATCCCTCAACCAGCTGAGACAGATGGCCACCCTTCCTGACTCTGGTTCTGCCGAGCGTCTCTTCCTGTTAAAAGGAAGTGCTTCGCTTCCCAGTGTTGCCCACCACCCTGCTGATGCTTGGGGGTTGAATTGCTGTAATTAATGCACCAGTGGACAAAGACTTTCCGCCATCTCAGTCCCTGAAATAAAACCATGGGTGTTGATGAACCCCCCCCCCCCCCCCCCACACACACACACCCAGTTTTCCACTTGCCTTTGAGAGTGAGCCCCAAACTGCAACGGTGTGTGACATAATTCAGCTCAGGTCCAAAAACGGTTATAAAAGCAGCTTTTGTGTGTAAAATGGTAGACTCTTACGGCATTTCCTTGCGTCAGAGAGCACTGAAAAGGCGTGCGGTGCAGGAGGATGGTGGGAAACCACACTGCACTTGTGTTTAATAATTCAAGGCAGGCTAATACCACATACTGTATGTTGCAAACACATTGTGCAGGTCTAACGTAAAACTCATTTTGACAAGTTCTTTCATACAGCGCAGTGTGAGGCTGCAGGAATACAGTGTGTTTACCACTCGATTACGAAGGCTGTGGAAATTACTACCAGTGAGTGAGATGTTAAAGTAGTGGAGCCCGTTTGAGTGTTTGAATTAATATCTCAGCGGGGTGCCCGTAGCTGCTGTGGATTATGGTCAAGCTAAAAGGCAAGTGAGCAGCAGGGGAGGCAGGATTACAGCGGTCAGTGAATGAGGCAGCTTGCTGTGAAAACAGGACACCTGATGCACTATTGCATTTATCTTCACATGAGGTAGATTCCCATGGCAGGTCCGTACTTCTTGCGGTTGCACTTGAAAACGGTCATCGCTATTAAAATGGAAAGCTTTAAGAAATGAAATACAACCACTGTTTTGATCACTTTACCAATGTTTGATCTGAGTCAGGCAGTGGTTTGTCACTGTTGCCCTCTCTCCCTTGATGGAAGTTGAACAGGGAATTATGGCCTAATATTTATGGCCTTTTTCGGATAAATGCTTATAAAATTCTGCTCAGTTGCAGATGAGTCACTGTTCTTATGTGTGCATGAAAGATTCATGGTCGTCACTGAAATCTGTTTTGCAGCACAATCAAAAAAATATCATTCAAGTGTTTACAGATACTTCACCTGCTTTCTTTGGAATGAGTTTGAAGGTAACTGCAAACTCGTAATTGCTTCTTTTGTGGCTCTGCTAAACAGGAGCAAATTGCACACACAACAAGGTTGAAAATATCCACATGACTCAACTAACATTCAGATGAAATGGAACTGATTCAAGCTGAGTTTAAGTCAAACGTGCAAATGACAGTAAATGACTTGGCTTTTTATAACATTGTGTTCCAGTACCTTGCGTATTTTTTTTCTGTGAAAGCTTTTATCACTAATTGTTGCCATGTGTCAAAAGAGTGACAGAGTCATTCTTTGGAACCTTGGGTGATGCGTTGGTTGGATGATGATCAGATTTTTAGGCTCATACACAAAGACAGAGCTGATCAACTCATGCTAATGTGCAAACGGACAGACAGTGCATACCTCTTTGTAGCCTGGTGTGTCTGACACGCCGTGCATTTTTCTCCTGTTAAACTGTAACCACTAATCACCTTACAGCCTAGCTGTTTCCTGCCATACAGCACACCACTCCTAGGTCCCCGTGTTGGGTGAAAATGGTCCTCATGGGGTTGCACTTTTTATTCCTTTTTCTTGAAATGGCCTGTGTGGGACATCCCAAATGCGTACAAGGGGTTTTGCTCCTTTATGGCAAAGATCAGGAGTCAGTTCCTCTGCTGCAAGGCCTGCGTTTCCAAAATAAACACAGACAACTCAATACTTCACTTCAGCTACCCCACCCTGCCTTGTTTCATTCCCTCTAAAGCACCCTCTGCTCTCCCCGTTCAGTGTTTCTTCCATGAGAAAATTTTAGCTTGCAGAGTTTCTCAGACAATGTGCAGCCATGCATTTGTGTGGGCAGTGCAGAATAAGGAATGCGTAAATGCAAAAAACTATTAGCGTAAATAAGCTGGCACAAAAGTATGTTTTGGAATCTGCGTCATATTTAATATTTAACAATGCGTGGATCTCGTTGAATTATTTTGATATTTAGTATTTTACCTGTGAGTTATGCAGATAAATTGCTTTGGTTATAGCTGTTTTTTTATTATTATTTACTTGCTTGTTTAGCAAGCAAGCTTGGTTCTCTCAGGTACCTTGGATAGCATTACAGCCACATGGTGCTGAGGTATGTATAATTGCTTTTTTAAAAGAAAAGAACGGGAGCAGTTGAATAAAAGAGGGGCTCTGTCAGTGAGCGTGGGGTAAAACTTACTGGGAAGGCAGAGCAGAGGCGTGGGGTTGATGGTGAGTTCTTTTAGAGAAGGAGATGAGGGAGAGCTGGGTGAGGCTTTTCTAAGATTCAAATAAGACGCTCAAGTCTGGGCCTGGACCTGGTTCCAAGTCTGGGCATATCCAGTCCTGTCAGTTTAACTTTGTCCCCTTGAACTCCTCCTTCCACTCTTTTTTTCCTCCCCTCCTCTTATCCCCAACTTTCTAGGACGTCATCTCCTCTCTGTGCATAACTTCACGTCTCTATCCTCACTTTCTGCTCGTTTCTGCTTTGGACTTTCATCTTACCAAAAGCTTTTTAAGCTTCATAAACAAGAAGTATATTATATAAGTGATTCTCCTTATACATGCTGTAAAAGAATGAGGGAGGGGAAAAAAGGCTTTGGTCTGTGAGTGTTTACCTTCTCTGTGGTGGTTTGGAGATGTTGCCAGCACTAATTTAATTCATATGTACTGGTGTAGTCTCCCCCCCCCCCCCCCCACACCTTTTTTTTTGCAAAGGAGCCTTATGTAATTGGGAAATGCTTTAGGTTTGAGGTTGGATTTTAAGACATGTTTTGACCTAAGCTGTTTCTAAGTAGCCTCGCTGTTTTCATTTGATTGCTAAAGTAAATTCGCTTTCAAAAAAACGGCTGCTTGTTTTCCATGAGTTTTAATAATTGGCAGTCAAAGTGAGTTAGAGGAGTATAAAAGTTTGCGTGGAACTATCACAACTTCAACTGTGAAAAGGTTATGAAAAGAAATAATATCTTACCTGCAACAGATAGGTCTTTGAAGACTAGATTGATGGGGTAATGGCTAGTCTGAACTGTTTGCTTGTCAGTCCAATCAGAACTACATAAACTAGTTCTCCTAACCTTGAGGGTTCAAAGAGCTATCTACAACAGGTAAGATAACTAGATACCACATAGCTGTAACATAATGACCCCCGCACACACAAATGCACCAGAACGCAGAAGTCTTTATTCCTAATAAATGTCATGCTACTAGGTGCATCCCAAAATTTTTTTAGTGGTTTTGGTGGGGGTCT